TGAGGTACCTTTTCTATGCTGAGATGCGGGTAAAACGACCGAACCATGTAAATCCCGAATTTGGAGATATGGTTTTTATTGAGGCGTTTTCAGCCCCCTTCTTGGGGGCTGTTTTAACGGGACACCAGATAGACATGACCCATTTTGGGGGTGCCCCTGGAATGTCTGGGGGTTTAAAATGGTTTGTCTCCAAGGCTTTTGGTGTTCCTTTTGGTTCCCCTGAAAGACTCATCAAATAGGGTCCCCCAAAACATAACACACCCAAATGTTTGCAATATAATGTATTTACGTGTTGAACAAGTTCCGCTATTCTGAGCAAAAAATGCGACGTCAGGTTCCGACGGGGGATGGGGGATGCGACGTCACCTTGTCGTTGGGTGTTCATCATTTTTGGGTTGGTGTTTCATCATAACTTGCCCAGGATATTATATCCTCCATGTGTGTCCTTTTTCGAGTTCATATGAACCTCCCACACCATTTTCAGGTATATATGGGTTGTTGGCTGGGTGCTAGATAGCCAGTAGGAGATTGAATATTCCACAAGGGAAAGTGGACTGAGCTTGTACAGAGAACCTTTCACACCTTAAGAACCTTCCTTCGTGGCCACCTTCTCAGTGTTCATCAACCCTTGGAAGCTTGTAAAGGGCAGGCAGTTTCAGTTTTTTGTTTTTGTGCACGAGAAGTGAAGACATGGCCTTCATTTGGCCCATCAGAGCTTACCTCCATCTCAAAGATGCAGACCACTTTGAGACACCTGAAACTCTTTTGGGTCCGAGGGTCCAAAAAGGGGGGGTCAAAGGGGAAGTCTGAAGGGTCCGAGGGCAAGCCGGGGGTTCGGGTTATTCCTTGAGCTCAGCGCTGTTCAGCTGAAGGGGTCCTTTGGCTAGATGGGTGTTTTTCAAATAGGGTTACATTTGGTTTGCTTCTGGTTTCCCTGGCAGACAAACAGACAGATTTCACGTGATAATTTGTGCGCTAGCCTCCCGATTGCTTCGAATTGACATCTCAGGCGCAAGGATCTAGCAATGACCAGACCTTGCTATGCCACTTGGCCGCAAGCCAGGGACTTGACCCATTTGCCCGGGTGAGATGTTTATTGCAGACTTGAGGTATCATACTGTCCCTGTGTTTATGTTTGCCTCGGCGGTGTAAACAAAAACGGGATGGCGCGATTTCCATCCCGCACTCAGACGAAAAAGATATTCCTCCGCAAGCGCATTTTCTTGGGCGTTCAGCGTTGACGAAGGTGAATTTCTCGATTGTCGCGCATTTCACGTTGAGTCAGTATGAACCAGAAGCAACTGGCAACTGATTGAGTAGGCAGCACATGTTTCCCGACCTTTCCGAAAGGAAGCTCACATGCGGATTATCAACTTCTTGTGTTTTTCCCGACACCCTTATTTGACACCTGGCAGTCCAAAGTCCAAGAGGGCAAAAGGAGGGCGCAGCTGATCACTGCGAACCCTCCAGATGGCTCCCTGTCCGGAAATGGGGGGTTGGCTTCCAATTTTGTCAGGACCTTTCATTGCAAAGGCACTCAAGCACGAATGTCCGTTGGCCAATACGTGTTGCATTCGAGTTCCAACTCGTACCTTTTGTTTCTTCCTTTAGAATTCGGTTCGTTTTCGCATGATGGTTTTAAAGGGAATCTATCGCTACTGGAAATATGTGTATTCTTTCCGTGGGGCTGAAGTAAATGGAGGGGTCACTAACTTGATGCAGTGCAACTTTGTCTCCTCATTTGTTCGGTTTCCCTTGACTTGAGTAATTCATAGTTTAATTACTCCTGTACTAGCCATGCCTAGAAGTTCCCCGCGACTCCCATTGTGGAAATCGGTGTGTTGTGTATTGGCTGCACGTTTTTACGTGTACGACTTTGTCCACGGAACAGCAAATTCGCAAAAAGCTTTGTCGTTTGGGTGTCGTACGAAGAATGGGTGGGCTTTGTTTCCATTGCTATTTGTCTTTTTGGTCAACTTGGACTCTGAACACGTTGTTGTGCCCCCCTCTTGTGCCTTGAGCCAACGCTTGTTTTGTCTAAGTGTTACTCGGGGATTCCATGGGAGGACTGCCTGCAAAAGGAGGGAGGACTTCCCACTTGAACCATTGGAAGGCGATTTCCTTGAAGCACGTCGCAGGTGCACTGGGGCTTGCGGCATCCTGCCCCAGACTTGACTCATTTTTTTGGCCTGTCCTTTCGTACTTGTAAGCAAGTGACACCTGTCACGACTTGGGATCAGCATCTTGCCGTCTTACAATCATGCTGGAACCAAAAAAACAATTGGTTTTGGGGCCGGGCGCTCGGGTCGTCGCTTTTTGCCGATCAGATCTGTTTGGCCAAGCTTAGGCAAGCCGACGCGCTTAGAATGACTGGGCCCTCCTTAGGATAACTCCGAGCAAGTGATGGGCAGGGATCCCAACCTTCGCTTAGATGCAGCGTAACCTGCAAGGCAGACATGTATTGCTTATTGTCAATCCGCCTATGGAACGTGATCTAGAGCGTTAAGTTTGAATGTTTCATATATGGGCAACGACACAACACAAACCATGGTTCCTGAGCAACAAAGTGCCGAATTGGGCTTTTGAACGCGCGTAGATTGACGGGAACCCAGGATTCATCAATTTTTGAGGATGTCACTTTAATGGTCCAAGTTGTAGTTGGAAGCTTTCTATGCCAATCTTTTGAGCCAAAGATGGCGCAAACTTCCCCCAGCTTGCGCCAGCATCACTTGCTCAGAGCCAGCGCCCTGATGTTTGCACAATTGGATTGGTTCCTGCGACGAGCACGCTTCTTGACTGGCATTTCTTCCGTTCCAAATGAGATGTGGTCAAACAATCCGAAGTTGCGTATGGTTGGTTTGGGAGGAACTTGGGGACGAGCTCTAACTTGGGCACACAAACCTGACTTACTTCCAAATGGTCTGCCTTGCTTTTTCGAGATTTGTCTCAACCTGTTTGGAGCTTGGTTCACTCACCCAAAAAAGGTAGTGACCTTTTATACAACTCACCAAACAAGAGTACCTTTCATTTCCACTGGCCACCACTCCACGCCATCAACCTGGTCGTTGTTTCTCTTGACGCTGGCGCATTGGGCGCAAGCTCCCGCAGACCATGTCATTTTTCTAGGAACCCGCAGGAGTCTCACCTGTCACACGCCACTGGGGTGTCGAGACTGGAAAAATCCTCCGAAGACTCGAGCCAAAGTGACCCCGCTGGGAAGTGAAGGCTAGGGACATTCCAAGCCAGACCAGCCACTAGGCGAACCTCCGCCCTCTTGATTCTTTACATAGACCCCTTCAGTATCGATCAGGTATGTCAAAAGCTCCGACACGTTGCGCGAGGCAGTGGCTTTGTGGCAGCCTGTGTGGCAAATTACGACATTTCGAGGAAAACAAGTGTGCAGCCCTATGTGCATGTTTGTGTCTGCGTCTGTGTGTGTATGTGTGTATGTGTATGATGTGTATGTATGCAGTCTGTCGGCAGTTTGTCTTGGTTTTTTGTGTGTTGTATTGTATGTTTTTTTTTTTTGGTTGGTTCTGTCGTGTCCAGGATATGTCATTCTTTGGCGAGTGCCCATGTGTCTGCGGAATGTTTTTTACTGGTGTGCACTGGAGGCCTTGACTTGGGCTAATCAGGTTGTCTATGGTTGTACTGTGCCTTCTTGGGACCTCCCGATTACAATGGCCGCAACGCTGGTTCGCTTGTTGCCCCCGAGGGGGGTTTGAAACCTCACCTGCCCAATTCAAAGAGCGAGTTATCTTTAAGCTGGGTGAGGTTTTGAGCTTCTTCGAGGGGTGAAACGAGCTCACTCATGAAGGGCTTAGACGAGGGGGTTTCCTTATTTCCAGTTTGGGAATTGTTTCTGCAAATGAGGCCTGTTAGAATCCTCCTAGTACAAGTTATCGAGGATGGTCCTAACCCAGACTTGCTAAGGCATCTCTGCCAATACAGACACTGACATGCAGATACACGCCTCGGCAGCTCAAGATCTGGAGCTTCATGAATACAAGTTGTTGTCATCCACAATTTTACGTTGCTGCAGGTAGAGGGCGTAGCATCGATTGTGAAGAACCAGGAGCTGTGTGGGATGGTGGATGTTGCCAGCACCCGGTCTAGCAAACTGGTGCTGCTTATCTTCGTCGCACTTCTATCATGCAGGCAGTGCGCGCACCTATTGCATGTTGCTTTCTCTTGCCTTGAAGTTCCTTGTGTGCGGCCTTGACCATTTCGCGTCTTAGTGTCGCCGAACCCCACAGTCAGCCTTCTTCATATATAATATTAGTACGTCGTTTCCCAGCAAGTGTAGGACATTCCAGAAGATGCAGGCATTGTAATTAACAAGTGCATATTTAAGGCTGTATTCCAGTATTAGGGGAGTTCATGTGAAGGTTGCACTAGCCTCTCATTGCATTAGTTAATTCTGAGGGGCTGTGCCATTGTGGAGGGGATCCTTCATTTTGGAGGGAAACGCCGGCTAACATTCCGCCAGGGTGAAAGCGGGGTCTCAAGAAAGCCCAGATAAGTCTCAATAGGCTGCCTTGGCAGAAGAAGAACACCTGGTTCTGTCTTTTTTTTTTTTTTCTGGCGGGCCCCCTTTTTGGTTGGTTTCAAGGGAAGCCAAAAGGAAAGCCGAAGCCATCTTGGGCCTAAAGAAGCAAACACACACACACACACACACCTGCACTCTGCCCAAACAGTCGAACCAAATTGGGGGGGGGGGAGGTCAGATCGGTGCGACACGGCAGAGCACTTAGGATGGGGGGGCCCATGTACCATCAATTCCAATATTATTGTTTGCGAAACCGGGGACCAGAGTCGGATTTCATTTTTAGCTTTCAAGACAAGCAACGGATCCCAATGTAGGGGCTGGTCTTTCTAAACAGCACGACCACGTGTTTCATCAACAGCCCGGAAACCATTGATTTTCATCGACAAACAAGCAAAAGCAACGGCTCGTGTTTCGCATGGGGGGTCCAGGGCTCAGAGCTTGAGCGGGTCAGGTTCCAGCGGCGAGTGGCTCGCAGTCCTGAACAGGCCGGATGGGAAAGTCTGGTGGAGCCCGACAAGAACAGAGAGCAGATTTCCCGAAAAGAGAATTCGTGTGGTATGTTGGGGTTGCGTTGAAGGGGAGACCAGAAGCAAAGTCCATTTGCAATTCCCCAAACACAGAACCTGGGATTTGCCAAATCCGTTTGAGCGTGTCGCTTTTTGATATCCACTTTAAGGTTGATTTCAAGAAAAGACGTTCTTTTTTTAAGCTTCAAGGGTCTTGTCAAGGGCATTTCCAGGTATGGCTTGTGGAGGTATGCAACGTGGTATATATACATGAGTGTTTATAGCCTCCATACCTCCAAGGATCGGTGTGCTTCCCTCAAGGAAACCAAAGGGAAGCAACCCCAGCCCTAGCGCCGCTCTCGAATTTGCGAAACCAAAGGAACTCAGCCTCCATGTGTGAGGGTCCTTTCTGGTGTACTAGTATCAAAGTCATCCCAGATGTTCGAGCGGTGAATGATTATATAATTCACCCAGTTGTTGCAAGAAGCCCGCAGGCATTTCTGCACAGCAATGCCCAGTTTTAACCAACCTACACAGTTTCTCTAAAAGCATCAAACATGATTTGGGCATGTCTTTTTTAGATCCCCAAACTTTAAACTGTAGCTCGGTGTTCATTTTGGTTGTCCTTAACCCAAAACAACGGGGCGCCGATTTGAAACATGAGAGCCACCCATTTGGACGCAGGTCCTCCGCTACCACTGGGGCGGCGAGCCCCTGTGGCTTCAGGCGCAGTTATGACAAGTTCAAGACTTGGAAAGTGCCTGACATGAATCCTCACCGAATTCTGATATCCACCATTTTGGGTCCGAAACAGATCCAGCATTTTGGGCAACCTATTAACAGTCATACAGTGTGTACGGTGAAACGTCGATGGTTGTTGTCACTCTTTGCAACCAAGCTGAAAAGTCAGTCTTTTGGAACCTTGGGTTCAGCTGACCAACGCATTTGAGGACCCAACCATGGACCCCCAGGTTCAGTTCTCTTATCCCTGATAAAGTTGTGGGATGGGGGCGGGGGGTTATTCGAAAACGTGGCTACTCCTTTGTGTGCCCAGAATGAATAGTTGGGCGTCTGTTTTTCTTTGAGGCTAGCCACGAAGGACTGCAACCTAAAGGTTGTGCTTTTTGCCTTCTTGTCATATTCGGGGAAGCCATACCAAAGTGCACCATATGGTTTTTGCCACTTCAACACGTCAGTTTGCTTCAGGGCGCCCATCCCTTTGTCTTGTCTACAACGGAAGCACTGGACAAACTGGGAGGCCAAGAACTGATCAAGTCTGAGGCATGGGCGGAACAACCCCGGAAGAGGCATTCATGCTCTTGAGCTTCGCTTTCTGGGAGCAATAATTTCACCGCTTCCACATCCACTGGCCCAAACCACTATAGCGGAACACGGGGTACATACTCTTTCTGTCAGTTTCTGTAGCCGGTGGCCATGGTGGTTAAACCCCTGGTAGCTTGGCAGTGAAAACGGGGGGTGAAGATCGAAGGGCCGGCCC